AGGAGGACTGTCCTGTGAAGGAAGATCCTAAGAAATTTAAATGTTCAAATTGTGGTGAAAACCACAAATCCAATTTTTGGGAATGTAAGACTCGCAAAGCGATCCTACAATCTCGTTCTAAGCGACAGGTAGGAAACGCTCAACGTTTCCGACCAGGTACAAATTCCTCTGCTGTTAACAACGGTCAGCGAGGAACAAATTCTACATTCGTACCCGCAGGTACAAACATCACCCCTGCTTCAAATTTTTCATCTGTACCTACTCCCCTCGCTGCTAACAATGTTCAGCGAGTTGATGGAGCTACCTATGCTGCTATTGCACCGGGTACAAATCAAAATACTAACCAACGTTCTAACGGAAATTTTGACAATTTTGACTTAGGAAGCATTACTGCCCCTAAAATGGAATTTTTTACAGAAATCATTAATTGACATGATTTCAGATATGCTAATCTAATTCCATGTTTGATGCTATTCAAACTGGAGTAAAATTTGCAAACAATATTGTCATGACTTTAAAATTCAGTAATGGATTTTAAAGCATTAAATATTGTAAATTGGAATGCTCGATCTCTTAAAGATATTGAAGACCAGCTATTTAACTTTTTGAGAGTTCATAACGTGCATATTGTCGTTATAACTGAAACGTTCCTTAAACCTGACCATAAGGTTAAGAAGGACGCAAATTATTTGATTTATAGAAAATATCGTCTTGATGGACCTTGTGGTGGCGTTGCCATCATTGTTCATAGACGGATCAAACACAAAATTCTTTCTTCATTTGAAACCAAAGTTTTTGAAACTTTGGGAGTTCTGTTGAAACAAAATTTGGACAACTTACGTTAATAGCTGCCTTTTTGCCATTCCAATTCGTAGGCCAGCAAAAGAATTTTCTCAAGGGTGACCTTCAGAAACTTACCCGTCATAGGTCTAAATTCTTCATTATTGGTGATTTTAATGCAAAACACCGCTCATGGAATAATGTTCAAAGCAATTCCAATGGTAATATTCTGTTTGATGTTTGTTCTGCAGGTTATTACACTATTCAATATCCAAACAGCCCAACATGCTTTTCTTCTGCAAGAAATCCCTCCACTATTGATTTGGTCTTAACTGATTCATGTCAACTTTGTAGCCAATTGGTTACCCATGCTGACTTCGGTTCTGATCACCTTCCAGTAACTTTTGAAATATCCCAAGAAATAATTTGTAGTCCCAACAGCTCTTCTTTCAATTACCATAGAGCTGATTGGGAGCAATATCGAACATTTATGGAATATAGCTTCGATCCAAACATTCCTTTGCAAACCAAAGATGAAATTAATTATGCTCTTGAATCTCTTACTACTTCTATAGTTGAAGCAAGAGCTGCCTCAGTACCAAAATGCGAGGTTAAATTCGATTTAATTATAATAGACGACGATCTTCAACTCTTGATCCGTCTTAAAAATGTCCGTAGGAGACAATATCAAAGAACACGCGATCCTGTCATGAAAGTTATCTGCCGGGATTTGCAAAAACAAATTAAAAAATGATTCTATGCCCTGAGGAACAAAACTTTTGAAAATAATGTTTCTAAATTAGACCCGAGTTCCAAACCCTTTTGAAAACTCACAAAAATTATATAAAAACCTCAAAAGCCTATTCCAGCGCTTAAAGAAGGTGGTAAAATTTTGATCACAAATTCGGAAAAAAAGCTCAGAAACTTGCCAAGCAATTCAAGAGTTCCCATAATTTCAGTTTGGGTCTTACTAGTCCTATTGAGAATCAGGTTGCTCGGGATTTTCTGAATATTTTCTCTCGGGAAAATATTTTTGATGATTCCTGGGGGACTGATTTGGACGAAGTAAGGTCTATAACTAAAAAGTTTCAAAATATGAAAGCTCCAGGTGATGATGGAATTTTCTATATCCTCATCAAAAAAAAAACTCCCAGAGAGTACCTTGTCTTTATTGATAAAATTATTTAACAGATGTTTCCATTTGGCATACTTTCCTGATAAATGGAAAAATGCAAAAGTTGTTCCAATTTTGAAGCCGGATAAAAATCCAGCTGAAGCTTCTAGCTACCGCCCAATAAGTTTGCTTTCTTCAATAAGTAAACTTTTGAAAAGATAATTTTGAATAGAATGATGCTTCACATCAATACGAACTCAATTTTTGCAGATGAGCAGTTTGGATTTCGCCATGGGCATTCAACTACTCATCAACTCTTAAGAGTTACCAATTTAATTCGTTCAAACAAATCTGAAGGCCACTCAACTGGAGTTGCTCTTCTAGACATAGAAAAAGCATTCGACAGTGTTAGGCATGAAGGTTTGATTGCTAAATTGAAAATAGTTTAATTTTCTACTTTACATTATGAAATTAGTTCAGAATTATTTAACTGACAGAACTCTGCAGGTAAATTACCAATATTCCAAATCCAATCGACTACCTGTTAGTGCAGGAGTTCCTCAGGGTAGCATTCTTGGGCCTATATTGTATAACATCTTCACTTCGGACCTCCCTGATTTGCCTCAGGGTTGCCACAAATCTTTGTTCGCTGATGACAGGCATTTCCACTAAAGGAAGAAGTCTTCGTGTTATTTGCAGCAGACTGCAGAAAAGTTCAGATGTTTTCTCTTCTTATTTACAATAATGGAAGATTTCTCCCAACGCTTCCAAAACTCAACTTATAATATTTCCACATAAGCCTAGAGCTTCGTTTTTGAAACCTAGTAGTAGTCACATAGTCACTGGGCAAACCAAGTGAAATATCTTGGATTAATACTTGACCAATTAAAAAATTAACTTTTAAAGATCACATTGAGGGCATTCAAGCCAAATGTAACAAATATATAAAATGTTTGTTTCCTCTTATAAACAGGAAATCCAAACTTTGCCTGACGAATTAACTTTTAATATTTAAACAAGTTTTTAGACTGGCCATGTTTTACGCTGTGCCAATATGGTCTTGTTGTTGCACTACCAGGAAAAAAGCACTTCAAAGGATTCAGAACAAAGTTCTGAAGATGATTTTGAAGTTGCCTCCCTGGTACAGTACTACCGAAGTACATAGAATTTCGAATGTTGAGACCTTAGAACAAATGTCCAACAAAATAATTAATAATTTCAGGCAAAAATCGTTGCAATTCTCAATTGCAACGATTAATTCCCTTTATACTTAGATAAGATTTAGTTTTAGTTTTTAGTTTTAAGATATCAATTGTTATACTGACATGCAGGTTTAAAAAACCTGTTTAAAATACTGAATTGCCAAGACAGGAACAATGTAAAAACACTTAGCTATATATCATAACAATTAAGGCTGTTAAGTTACTGTAGTAACTGGAGCACCTAGGTTAAAATGAAATGTAATTTATTTTGAATTTGGAACAAATAAAGTTTAAAAAAAAATCTCGACGCTAAGTTATCATTTGTTGATCACTACAATAACATTATATATAGAGCAAGTAACATGTCAGGGTTTATCAAAAGATTTAGTCTGCACTTCAATGATCCTTACACTATTAAAACATTGTATGTGGCCTATGTGAGACCTCTTCTTGAATACTGTAGCGTAGCGTGGGCTCCGTATCAAGATACATATATAAACCACATTGAGTCTGTTCAAACATAGTTTTTGTTGTTTGCCCTTCTTAAATTAGGTTGGACGAGATTACCACTTCCTCATAAGTTTGTTAATAAATTTAGACAGAACATTAACTCTTTGAGCAATAACATCATTTATAAATGTTTCCATGGCGAAGTCTCTTCGTATTTCCACGAAGAGACTTCGCCATGGAAACATTTATAAATGATGTTATTGCTCAAAGAGTTAATGTTCTGGAAATTTTAGAAAATATATTTTTTTATGCTCCAACTCGCTCTCTCAGGATTAGGAATTTGTTTTACATTAACAATTAAAGAACAGACTATGCTAAAAATTGGCCTTTGAATAGAATTATATCCTGCTACTACGCATATTCCCAATCAATTGATGTTACAATGAATAAAATAACACTAAAAAAAAAGCATTATTTTCAAGGTTAACCAGGCAATAATATTTAAGACATAGTTAATAAGCACTCATTGTAATTGGTCTACGATTGATTGACGACATAAATAAATAAATAAAAAGATTATTTTTTCCCCAAAGAAATCTCGATACTCTATCTCATTCACATTTTTGGAGTTCTGAAATTTAAAACATATTCCGAGCTAGGTAAAAATGTAATAATGTATTTTAATCATACGGATCGCTTCCATTTGAATTGCCACCCTCCCCCTCATTTTCAGCATGCCTGGAGCTGCCTTTAATTTTAATATATAGAAAAGAAGCCAGTAGCCAACATCATCTTTTCCAAAGGGATAAACTATGTCACGAAAAACGTTTGTGTTGGGTTAACAATGATGGTTAATTTTGAGCAACACCAGGAAATGTAAAAAAAAGTAACTTATAAAATCATGCATCCTACCTAGATACGATGACGCACTGAAAATCCCGCCCTCCGAAGCAGACGGTTGAATTATAATGTCGAAAACCCATTTAGAGCATCAATGAACGTCAATCCGGGGGCTGTGTAAACATCAATTGAACGATAATATAAAATTAAACCATTTTCAATAACAGGTCATTGCCGAATTCAAACAGTCCCTCCAGCGTGATCTACTTTAAAAGCAATTAAACACGACCCCCTCTCGCAGCAATTCCCAGCGCCCCATTCACCTTTACCCGATGACATTAATTCCATTAAATCCGAAAAAGGAGCAGCCCCGATCCTGTTCCGTCGTATTTTTATGATCGCTTATTTAACATTTTGTTCCACGCCTTTAATCAGCTTTCATCCCCATTGGGTGAATGATGACGATGGTGTTTCAAACTCACATAAAAGCCGTCTCCCGCCGTCATCCACTCATCACCTGAAATATGGTGTGAATAGGTTGAAGGCAGGGGATGAGGCTTTCATATTTCGCGTTTCAAAATTGACGATGTGGAAAAATAAACACCATCACTCACCGAATCATTTCAGTAAACACGCAGCAATTCCTGATGACCGACGCCGTCCTAGTCGTCGTCGTCGTCGTCCTTCCGCTGGTTTCACGCCTGTGATTTATCGTCACAATTTTTAATTGTCGACCGTGGGGCGTGGAAATTTGTTTGCTCTAGCACTACACCTACATTCGATCGGATCCTTGATTGTTGTTTCACCCATCAAACACACTGCACTGATGGTGGTGGACACAATAAACACTCTCACCCACTTTCTCGACGTGGCTCACTAAACGGAAATGGATTATGGCTTTTGTAATTTCCTGGATTTCACTTCACTCTATTCACCTCTCTATTTTTTTCGTCGTCCGTTTGTGATGACGACACGAGCGATACGCATCACTTGGAATTGCTTTCGGGGAAACTCGAATGGAATGCCCCTCGAAGGGGGAGTTGTTTCGTTCGAATCGCGTAAAACAACACTCTTTTTATCCAATTATCACCGTTGAGCAGGTTTATTCGACTCGGTTCACCCGATGTATTATGTAAGTCGGTGTAATCCTATGCTCGTTCATTAAACATACGGGCACACACATTTGCACCCGGGATCACCCACGCCGACGACCGTTGACTGCCGTGTTTATTTTAATCTAGGCTTATGATTAATGACACCTTTTTTTCGGTTCCAAACCTCTTGGCACGTGAAGCTTCACCACGCGACTTCCATCCCCGTGCCAGAATCACATGACGCGCTTTTTCCCACGGGAGATATGTTATTACAGCGTAAACTTTTATTTTCGCGAGCACTCCGACGATACACTACCACGAACACACACACACAATGCCATCAACGGCCCACGCAGTAATCTCATTGCCGCTCACCAAAACCGTGGGAAATTCCTTTCCGGTCCCGAAAAAATGCAACCTCAAGCAAATCCCGTCACAAAAATCCCTCCATGCACCGGATTTAGTGCAGCACTGTTTGTGCAGCTGCAGTAGCGTGAATCGTCACAAAATTCCACTGTCCTCGCAGAAATGCCACCCCAACTTTTTTTTCGGGGAAACCCCCTTCACCCTTGCTGTCACGCAATCCACACCCCTAAAGCGGTGGACGCAAGGCAGGGCCTGTCCTATCCTTTTCTACAATGCGGTGCAGCTTGGGAGAAAAAATCACACGCGCGCCCGAACGTCGTCGATACGGTTCCCGTTACATTGTTTCCTCGGCGGAATTCAAAACACTACTGACATCTATCCATCGGTTTACACTGCGCCACGAGAGACACGAACGGACGGCCCCGAACCGAGATCTCCGCCACTCCGACCGTGAGGGGGCTGGAGTGGAACCACGACGAACCATCCTCGGGATCGAACCGGTTCCTTGAGAGAGCCTGCCGGTTATGGAACCGGTTCGCTCTTTTCCTGTTGCCTTTTTCCGTGTTGCGAGCGGAGGGGAGGCACTCTCCCGGAAAACTCGACACCTGAGGCGCGCCCATACTCTCCCCAGCCGTGGCTTTTCTCTCGTCCACTCGGTGGAGTGGAAGTTAGCCCCCGACCGGGAAATGGGAATGGGGAATTGTTTTGATTGCGATGGTCGTTCGTTCCAGGAAGCACAGGGATGGCGATGACGATGATGATGATGGCGATGACAATGACTCTTTTGGTATGCAGGCAATCAGAAAGGGAAAACGGTTGACGATTTTAGTGATGGAATTTCCATTCGCGATGTTGAATGTGGTCATGATTGTTCACGTTGGGAAAGGTAAGTCCTGGGGTGCTCGGTGTGAGGAAATATATGAAAATTGGGGGTTTCATTTTTTTTTGTATCCTTGGTGTTATGTAAATTCTGATGAACTTCCACACAATCTGAATGCTACCGTGAAGAACTTCAGCTCTAAGAGGTAGTCAATTACATTTTGAATTTTGATAATTTACCTCCATAGTTCTGTGAGTTAAATAATTTTGAACTAATTTCGTAATATAGAGTGGAAAATTAAACTTTTCAATTTAGCAATCAAACCTTCATGCCAAACACTGTCGAATGCTTTTTCTATTTCTAGAAGAGCAGCCTTCAGATTTTTCCGATCGAATTAAATGACTTTTAAGAGTTGATGAGTACTTGAATGCCCATGGCGAAAACCAAACTGCTAGAAAATTGATTGATGTGAAGCATCGTTCTATTCAAAATTATCTTTTCACAAAATTTACTTATTGATGAAAAACTTGTCCAAACTTATTGTATGGTAGCTAGAAGCTTCAGCTGAATTTTTATCCGACTTCAAAATTGGAACAACTTTTGCATTTTTCCATTTATCAGGAAAGTATGCCATGGTAAATTTTTTTTTTTTTTTAACTCTTTATTTGTTCCAAATTCAAAATAAATTACATTTCATTTTTAACCTAGGTGCTCCAGTTACTACAGTAACTTACCAGCCTTAATTGTTATGATATATATCTAAGTGTTTTTACATTGTTCCTGTCTTGGCAATTCAGTATTTTAAACAGGTTTTTTAAACCTGCATGTCAGTATAACAATTGATAGCTTAAAACTAAATAACTAAAACTAAATCTTATCTAAGTATAAAGGGAATTAATCGTTGCAATTGAGGATTGTAACGATTTTTGCCGGAAATTATTAATTATTTTGTTGGACATTTGTGCTAAAGTCTCAACATTCGAAATTCTATGTACTTCGGTAGTACTGTACCAGGGAGGCCACTTCAAAACCATCTTCAGAATTTTGTTCTGAATCCTTTGAAGTGCTTTTTTCCTGGTAGTGCAACAACAAGACCATATTGGCACAGCGTAAAGCATGGCCGGTCTAAAAACTTGTTTAAATATTAAAAGTTTATTGGTCAGGCAAAGTTTGGATTTCCTGTTTATAAGAGGATACAAACATTTTATATATTTGTTGCATTTGGCTTGAATGCCCTCAATGTGATCTTTAAAAGTTAATTTATGGTCAAGTATTAATCCAAGATATTTCACTTGGTTTAACCAGGAAATTGGAACTCCGTTCATAGTGACTATGTGACTACTACTAGGTTTCAAAAACGAAGCTCTAGGCTTATGTGGAAATATTATAAGTTGAGTTTTGGAAGCGTTGGGAGAAATCTTCCATTTTTGTAAATAAGAAGAGAAAATATCTAAACTTTTCTGCAGTCTGCTGCAAATAACACGAAGACTTCTTCCTTTAGCGGAAATGCCTGTGTCATCAGCGAACAAAGATTTGTGGCAACCCTGAGGCAAATCAGGGAGGTCCGAAGTGAAAATGTTATACAATATAGGCCCAAGAATGCTACCCTGAGGAACTCCTGCTCTAACAGGTAGTCGATTAGATTTGGAATTTTGATAATTTACCTGCAGAGTTCTGTCAGTTAAATAATTTTGAACTAATTTCATAATGTAAAGTGGAAAATTAAACTTTTTCAATTTAGCAATCAAACCTTCATGCCAAACACTGTCGAATGCTTTTTCTATGTCTAGAAGAGCAACTCCAGTTGAGTGGCCTTCAGATTTGTTTGAACGAATTAAATTGGTAACTCTTAAGAGTTGATGAGTAGTTGAATGCCCATGGCGAAATCCAAACTGCTCATCTGCAAAAATTGAGTTCGTATTGATGTGAAGCATCATTCTATTTAAAATTATCTTTTCAAAAAGTTTACTTATTGAAGAAAGCAAACTTATTGGACGGTAGCTAGAAGCTTCAGCTGGATTTTTATCCGGCTTCAAAATTGGCACAACTTTTGCATTTTTCCATTTATCAGGAAAGTATGCCAAATGGAAACATCTGTTAAATAATTTTACCAAGAAAGACAAGGTACTCTCTGTCAGTTTTTTGATGAGGATATAGAAAATTCCATCATCACCTGGAGCTTTCATATTTTGAAATTTTTTAGTTATAGACCTTACTTCGTCCAAATCAGTCCCCCAGGAATCATCAAAAATATTTTCCCGAGAGAAAATATTCCGAAAATCCCGAGCAACCTGATTCTCAATAGGACTAGAAAGACCCAAACTGAAATTATGGGAACTCTCGAATTGCTTAGCAAGTTTCTGAGCTTTTTCCAAATTTGTGATCAAAATTTTACCACCTTCTTTAAGCGCTGGAATTGGCTTTTGAGGTTTTTTCAAAATTTTTGTGAGTTTCCAAAAGGGTTTGGAACTCGGGTCTAATTTAGAAACATTATTTTCAAAAGTTTTGTTCCTCAGGGCAGAGAATCGCTTTTTAATTTGTTTTTGCAAATCCCGCCAGATAACTTTCATGGCAGGATCGCGTGTTCTTTGAAATTGTCTCCTACGGACATTTTTAAGACGGATCAAGAGCTGAAGATCATCGTCTATTATAATTGAATCGAATTTAACCTCGCATTTTGGTACTGAGGCAGCTCTTGCTTCAACTATAGAAGTAGTCAGAGATTCAAGAGCATAATTAATTTCATCTTTGGTTTGCAAAGGAATGTTTGGATCGAAGTTATATTCCATAAATGTTCGATATTGCTCCCAATCAGCTCTATGGTAATTGAAAGTAGAGCTGTTGGGATTAGAAATTATTTCTTAAGATATTTCAAAAGTTACTGGAAGGTGATCAGAACCGAAGTCAGCATGGGTAACCAATTGGCTACAAAGTTGACATGAATCAGTTAAGACCAAATCAATAGTTGAGGGATTTCTTGCAGAAGAAAAGCATGTTGGACTGTTTGGATATTGAATAGTGTAATAACCTGCAGAACAATCATCAAACAGAATATTACCATTGGAATTGCTTTGAGCATTATTCCATGAGCGGTGTTTTGCATTAAAATCACCAATAATGAAGAATTTAGACCTATGACGGGTAAGTTTCTGGAGGTCACCCTTGAGAAAATTCTTTTGCTGGCCTACGCATTGGAATGGCAAATAGGCAGCTATAAACGTAAGTTGTCCAAATTTTGTTTCAACAGAAACTCCCAAAGTTTCAAAAACTTTGGTTTCAAATGAAGAAAGAATTTTATGCTTGATTCGTCTATGAATAATGATGGCAACGCCACCACAGGGTCCATCAAGACGATCATTTCTATAAATCAAGTAATTTGCGTCCTTCTTAACCTTATGGTCAGGTTTAAGGAACGTTTCAGTTATAACGGCAATATGCACGTTATGAACTCTCAAAAAATTAAATAGCTCGTCTTCATTATCTTTAAGAGATCGAGCGTTCCAATTTAAAATGTTTAATGCTTTAAAATCCATTACTGAATTTTAAAGTCATGACAATATTATTAGCAAATTTTACTCCAGTTTGAATAGCATCAAACATGGAGTTAGATTTAAGCATATCAGAAATCATGTCAATTAATGAATTCTGTAAAAATTCCATTTTAGGGGCAGTAATGCTTCCTAAGTCAAAATTGTCAAAATTTCCGTTAGAACGTTGGTTAGTTTTTTGATTTCTACCCGCTGCAATAGCAGCATAGGTAGCTCCATTAACTCGCTGAACATTGTTAGCAGCGAGGGGAGTAGGTACAGATGAAACATTTGAAGCAGGGGTGATATTTGTACCTACGGGTACGAATGTAGAATTTGTTCCTCGCTGACCGTTGTTAACAGCAGAGGAATTTGTACCTGGTCGGAAACGTGGAGCGTTTATTACCTGTCGGTTAGAACGAGATTGTAGGATCGCTTTGCGAGTCTTACATTCCCAAAAATTGGATTTGTGGTTTTCACCACAATTTGAACATTTAAATTTCTTAGGATCTTCCTTCACAGGACAGTCGTCATTTGCGTGAGAGGAATCACCACAATTCATGCATTTAGCTGGCATGTAGCAATTTTTAGTTCCGTGACCCCATCCCTGGCACTTACGGCACTGTGTGAGGTTTTGGAAATTTCCTCCAGTCTTCCTGAAGTGTTCCCACTTCACTCGGACATGGAGCATAAGGCTAGCTTTTTCTAAGGCCTTAAGGTTGTTTAGTTCACTAGACTTGAAGTGAACTAAATAAAAATCATTAGAAATCCCGTTGCGCGAATCGCCAGGACGGGATTTCATTTTCATTTTGATTACTTGGAGTGGCACAACTCCAAGTAATTTTGCCAGTTCATCTTTGATCTGATCCAGGGATTCACCACTGGGCAGTCCTTTCATGACAACCTTGAACACCCGTTCAGTTTTGGTGTCGTAAGTAAAAAATTTGTGCTTCTTCTCAGTAAGATACTTGAGAAG